GCAACCTTAGACCACTAAACATCTCCATTTTCTTTAAGACTCCACTTTCAACCTTCCTTTCTTCTCCTATTCTTCATCTAAATGGGCAGCCAAAAGACAGCAACCAGAACCGGCGCACGAATATGCGTGNGTCAATTTTCTGCAGAATTAGTGCAATGAAATTCTAAGTTTTCTCTTCGATCTTACTTTCAACCTCTGCTGTCTTTCTCCTCATGTTCATCCAAATGGGCAGCTAGAAGACAGCAACTAAAACCGGCACACCAAAGTGCATGATTAATGGTCGTACAAACTGGAGAAAAACGTTCATGTCCCATTGGATAAAAAAGTAACATGAAGATAAGACTGTTGAGAGGATAGTCAAAGAGAAGATAGAAAATTCATATAGACTTTGGTTGCACGAGCACCACTGTTTGCGACACGCAACTACATCACTCACTCACTGTGTTTTACCACCGGTTATCATGATCTCGGAGTCCTCAAAAGCCTCAGTATTGTCGGGGGTTGGTGTCCGTCCGGTCACCTTTCCCTTGGTCCTCATGAAATGCCTCGATACGACCAAGCGTCTCGAATAACCTCTGCTGAGGAAGCCTTCTCGTGGTGCAGGTACTTTCCCGCCATAGTGAGAGACGAATAGCCGACACCTCCGGGGCTATAACCGAGTTGGTGGACCCACTGGTAGTTCACCTAGGGGAGTTGGCCAAAACCCTGGTTCGAAACCAACCAAAAGGAGGCGTACGAATCACGCACACAGCTTCCAGGTTGTGGCACCTCGAGCGTTTGAGCCCATCCAAATGGCGTATGATCCGATAAACTGTACACCGGCTTCCAATGGATTGCGGTTTTTACACACCGCTCCGCTGTCTTGCGGGTCAGGCTAGCCAAAGGCTCCGGTTGTGAATGCCTCAAGAAAATTCATCCTCGACAACCCGGAATTTTCCTGCCCACATGCAAATCAGGGAACGTTTATCTTTTTTCAAAAAAAGATTATTGTATCATGATTTATTTGACACACAGTCTGGAGTCTGACGTTTGTGAAAATAAAAATAAAACAATACAGGGCCTCCGAGTGAATCAAATAAAATAGACGTTTTCGCCAATGCCTCATTGAACGGCCATTACTTGAACTTAAGTTGTTTAGTCAAACGAGACTTGAGTTTGAATCTCATCACTCACTTTGACAGTGATCATGTGGATTATAGCCCGGTGCCTTGTGCCTTTCTGATCTAGTAAATTCACAATTTGCCCGCGCTTATTATTATTATTATTTTTTTTGTCAACGTGTCGTTCAATCTTCTAATCCTGCGACGAAAAATTTATTCCGCACTATTGTTTTCATCACTCCTTTCGCCCGCATCCCCCGACATCCGGCCCAACTCGCCACAGTCTACCAATTGGTGAAAGACGAAATTACACAAACGTGTTCAACGCGTTGCTTCGCATTTTCCGCGAGGAAGGTTTGATTGCATTGTGGCGCGTGAGTTGTTTGCCTGCGTACTATGCACTGGTACACTTTGAATGACTATCTTTAATGAAGGAAATCCCGAGGGGAACAGGTTTGAGTCATTATCTGAAATTGACATTGTTATTGCTATGTACCGGTTCAATCCCTGTTCAATTTATACATTACCACTAACCTTGTATGAATTGCGAGTTGGGCAGCGATCAATGATGTCCCCTTCATTGTATTTCGCTATATGATGATGAGAACGAGGAGGGAGAGGATGATGCCTGACGAGAATTCATGTCCCTGATCGATTTTGCTTCGTGGCATTTCGTTCTATATTCGTAAGTTCTCTGCTTGTACTGAGTACCTTCATTAGCTCTTTTTATTACAAAAGGATGAATTCTATTCTGATTCAGCTCAGTATCATAGATTGATCGTAGCAATCGAGTAGAGAGCGTGAGAGAGCCAAAATAGTTACGTAGTGGACTGTACCATTCCATATGGAACCGTAATTTTATGTGTTCCATTCAGGAACATCGGCAACAAATCAGATTAGATTCTATCTGCATAGGACTACGCATTGTCTGCTGTGACTGCTAATTAAACGGTGTAAAAGCTGGATAGAGTGTGTATTCATATCTCTTTCAATCGTAAACCGATTTTTTTCTCCTGTGAAGAAACTACGTAATTGGCCTCGCACTGTTGCATTTTTTCTACAATCACTAAACTATGTGTTCAAAATAGGATAGCTATTCAAAGATCGGAAACAAAATTGCAAAAGTACTGTTGTTTCGGTGAATCGATCGATCGATGGTACGGAATTCGAATCAAACCAGTTTGATGACAGAAAATGTTAAGTTGTGCCACTAGAAGGATCTTACTGGATACCACCCACCCACATACCCCCTCCTGAACAGCAAAATTCACAATTGAACCAATGTGAGGTCAACTTCACACGAATCTCCAAACCCAAACGAGTTAAATTTTTCTACCATTTTTTGACTAGAAATTGTGAACTGTACAATTATACCGTGATCTTATTCTGTGCCAACCAAACACCTCCACAAAGAGCATGGATTGTCAACATTCAACTGATTTAAACATGTTAGTCATTAGGTGTGGGGTCCCGGAGATCTCGGATGATAACATATTGTCAGTCCAATGAACTGGAGCATTACCAGACCATTATTATTGAAACGTACTGTATGATCATATGTTTCAGATCTCCTAACATCACCTAGGATCGATTTTTTGATCTATGGGAATATGCATTGTTGTGGTATATT